TTTCGCCCTCTGGGGGGAGCCTCGCTGGAAAATCAACACCGGTTGCATAGTATACCTTTAATAGAAAGTTGAATGGAGGGAAAAATCACCAAAGGCACCAGAGGAATCAGCAGCAGCTTTTAGGAGGAGCGGCTTTGGGAGGGCTGGAAAGTAAAGCTCATCGTTGCTTAAGGATGATTTATACTTCAAAACCAGGTTGTCTGCGTGTGTCGCGGTGAACGCAAAGGCGTCCCGCCCCCTCTGCAGAGACTCTGCTGCACCTCTCCCATATTGTAGGCGACTGCAGACAGGAGGCTTCTGATTGGTCAAATCTACATCCGCTCTACGCTATGCGTCTCCTGTTTGGTACCTTACCGGTTTCGTTTGTTTGTATGACCGACTCGTGAAGTTGGACTAGCTAGAAGAGCGAGAACGCTAGGACCCTTTTTCCACCTGGATCCCCGCTCTTTGTCGCCCTCATGTCCCTCCGTTGTCAGACAAACTCGCCCCACTTCCTCACCACCTCAGCCGTATCTAGACCCACATTTTTGATTTTTCCCCTTTTGCATTGTGATGTGGAATAAACATAGCACAGGCCATGCTTCATTATTGAGCATAAATCAAAAATGTCTGCGTCATACTTGCGACAAGCTGACTGCGACACACTGCTGTAGGAGGATGACCAGCCCTTTAATCTACACAGCAGACCACGAATTAAACCCAGTTAATGTATTAAAAAAATTCGGCTGAGCCCCTAACACACACATAGTGCTGTGCTATTTTTCTTTGTGAATATGAAGCACATTTAGTATCTACAGCCCTGTTAGAATGCCAGGCTTTTGTGTGAGCAAAATATTTGATCCTTTTTTTTATAATGTAACCCACTGAATGTTGGCAGAGGTCTTTCAGACTTCTAAACTTGACAACATTCAGTTCAATTTCTATTGCGCCAATTCACAACACATGTCATCTCAAGGCGCTGTACAATTCAACCAGATCATACAGTCAGATTATTCAGTTTTCTATCTCCTATCTACGGTGGCCCTGAAGTGCAAATTGCAACTACAAATCTAAAAGCGCAACTACATTAAGGAAATCGCAACTACATAAAGCAAATATGCTGATGAAGGTTCTCAGTCATCCAGGTCATAGTCATTCCGTAAAAATTCAAAAAAAATTCAAAAAATCCACTGGACTTGGTTTTCAAGATTTGAAGACGTTTCGCCACCTCTCCAGGAAGCTTTCTCAATTCAAATGTCTGGATCCGCAGTGAGTTTTAGTCTTATATAGACAACGCCTTGTATCGCTTGGAAACATGCATTGTCATAACAGGCACCAAAAAGGTTTCATTTGTTTGATCATGTTGGCTAAATCTAATTTAGAGATG